TTAGATATCAATGAAGCATTATCAGTTCCATTGGTATAAATTATTTACTTACTACATACACAATTAACATTTTAAATGAGTTTGACACACTTAAGATTCTATAAACATTATTGTGCAGTACAGGATTTCTCAATACTTTGGGAAGACAAGGCATGAGAAATAAATCCAATGTGCGTTTTCATATTAGAAAGTTATTATATAAGAGTTTAAAGACAAAACCACAAATAAAACAAGAATACAAATCAAATTCTGTACAACAACATTTTTAGACTGTACAACAGAATGATCACTTGGGATGAAAAAATATAAACAATTTTCTTTCCTTATCTTCCACACAAACAATTCAGAAAATATGTTGGTTCATGTGTAACATTTGGATTTGCTAACATTTTGAGTAACACAGGCAAGATTTGCAGGCACCCGATCATCCAGCTCTTCTCAGCAAATAAAAGTCTTCAGAAAAAAATCAAGAGCAATCTGGCTAAAAGTGACAGTTGGTCTACAGCAAGTAAACATTTCAGTGAGATCAATGAAAGCTTTTCCTGTGAGTTAATCAGTATTGGATCAGGGTTCACAGATCTCCTGGCTGTTCAGTACCCTATGATGCTAGACTTGGGATGCTGTTCCAAGAGCACAGGCAGAGAGAAGTACTTGGATGTGCCACTTGTTTTTGCTGCAGGGTAAACACCCACACTCTCCACAGAGCAACAGTGTTGTCACACGGGTTTGCTCCATTCCCACAAAGCCTGGAAATCTGCCTGTTGATGCAGAAAATACAGTTGTTTCTAAACCCAACACAATGAGCTGCGGTTGAGAGTTAGGAGGATTGCCTTGGACCTGCAACGGTTTTGGCTTCTCACACCCCTTGATAAGGACCTGCCGTTGGGCCGTGGCCTTTGTCTAACTGAGCCTTTGGAAACTATTCAAAATCTTTGAGAACTTGTGCAAATATGCCTCCAGGTGTTTGCATCACGGCACACACTTGCCCAGTCTCTACCAGCTACCGAGTACCTCAGGAAAGACAATTTTAAATGACATTCACTATCGATACTGTGTTGGAGAGGTCTGGGATGAGCAGTAGCACCACTACTGAGAAACAACTACTGGCAAGGATTTCAGTTTTGTGGCAAAAATCAAGCTACTTCCAAAAAATCAAAATGAGCTCATAAGTCCTGATTATCTCTGGTACAATGAGATAAGGAGGCTACTGGCTGAGCCACGTCTTTTAACAGTTTTCTGTTAAGAACAGTAAATTCCAGCATCAGAAGAGAAGGACGACTGAAGCAACGCACGCTACAGCAAAGGCAAGAAAAGAGGCCAAAGCTTTCAGGCAGAGAAGTAGTGCACGAAGGTCCCAGCATCCTTGAAAGACATTTAAACAGCCCCCAGAAGACTTTCAGGGGCATGAGAAAGGACATGGCACAGTCAGGTATTGGCTCCTTCCCACAGAGCAGTAAATCTCTTGCAAAATCTCTTTGCAAAGCCTGTTTATGTGCCTTGAAAAACCATCGGTTATTTGTCACGCAGTCCCCCAGAGCTAAACTGCGCAGTGGTTTATTTTGCATGTGTGTTATATCACAAATATGTTGGCAAGGCACACTGCTACAGTAATGCTAAGGGGGAAGTCCCTTTGCAAGTTTGCCTATATGCATATCTTCTATTCTTCACAGAGCCTTTGAAATAAAATAAAGTAAAAAAAAAAAAAAAAAAAAAAGTGAATGTTGTGGAGCCTATGAGGCTGAAAACACCATTATTTGAAAATCAGATACTGTAACAACAAGTGAAATATGAGAGAACTGGTATACTAAATAAGCTTTAGAATGCTGCAGGATTTTCTAAGTGTTGGGGTTTTTTATATCACTGGTTGTTACAGTTTCTGGTTTGAGTACTGATACAGGTCAATGGATCTCCCTCTTCCACGTACGAGGGCGGAGAGACAGAATTACCCTTTGGTTTATCATCATGGGATTAAGGATACAGAAGAGTAATTCTCTGTACAAGCGGAGTTTCAACAGAGGAAAACTGGGAAAAGTAAAAGAGAAATAAAGCCACATAAAATCTGATTATTTTTAGGAACTAGCTGGCAAAATAAAGGATTAAACTATCATGCAGCACTTCAGTTGGGCTGCTTCTTCAATTGCCAGTAATTTCATTAGTAGTGGAAATCACAGTATAATGAGGCAACTTAAAATCATATTATAATGTAGAAGTCATGCAGTAATTAAAACTGGACAACATCCTTAGCAAAATCTTGGAAAACATCAGCCAGAGACAGGCTGTCCACATTCATTTTTATTAACTCCATGATCCATGGCAACTGATCCCAGCAAGTTTAGCTTTCATATTTCACCAGATATTGAATAGGAGACCTAATATTATTAATTATTTCTCAGTCTAAGTAATGAATTTCCATGAGCCCTAGCTAAGAAGTCATTGTTTTAGACAATATGCCAATAACTGGCGCAACAGTGCAGCACGGGGAGGAACGGGCTTTCCCATGTCCCTTGGCTTACAGGATTTCCAGGCATTGTGCCAAGACTTTCCCCTATGTTAAAGAAAACTCTGTTCTTTCACATCCTTCATATTCCTGCACACAGCTTGACTCTCCCATGCTGTCAAATTCCCTTTGAATCCTTGATACAATCAAATCCAGTTTGCTGCATTCAGAATTTTAAACCAGCATTTTTATTTGCCTTTTTTTTTTCTGAGCACAGGAGCTTGTGGAAGGAAAACAGGAGAAGGTGAAGAACTGGCTCTTTGATTTGGACCTGGCTTCTTCTAGCTTCATCTGATGGTCCCTAAATCTTGTATTAGAAAAGAGTGTGAATAGTCAATCCCTTCGCATGGCACTAAAGATTTTTCAGACTTTATTATATCTCCCCCCAGCTGTCTCTTTTTCCAGCTGAAGAATTTTGTATTGCTACTAAAAGTCACCTAAGCGCACTTGCACAATGTAAGATAAACAACCTTGTTTCATCTAAAACACTGATCAGAGATTAATAAAGAATGTAATTACTGTATTTGAATTTCAAGCTTTTACCTGTATGAAGCCAGGATTTGATTTTCCAAGACACTCAAAAAGGGCAAAGCGTATTACAGGTCAAAAAGCCATCTCTTGAGTTTGACTCGTGTAATGTTGGTCTTGATTAGAACAACAAAGCTAATAATTTTCCTGAAGATAGGAAAAAAATGTGGCCATTTATCTGTGCAAAGAAATATCCTTTCATGGGCAATTATTAGCAATAAAAAAAAAAAAGGGAAAAACACTTCAAAAATGCATAGATACTGAAATATTTTCACATCATTGGGCTATGACTGGTTTGTTATGTTGTGTCCCACACAGGTGATATATAGTACATCACAAAACAACATATGCTATGGATCAGTATAAAAGCATTCCCCCTTTGTCCTCAGCACAGGTATAGTCAGCCTGCACCCGTATGCTATGGCTGTATTTTAACAGCCCAGTCCAGGACGGCCCGGTACCCAGGTACATCAGTTTCCAAGCCTGTTCACTCACCTCTAGTTCTGACCTCAGCTGCTGCCTGCTGTGTTTCCCCAAGTCTCTAGTATCATTACACCACTATGATTTTAGCATGATTCTCAAATTCGTTTTAATCTTGAAAGTTTTTAAAAGAGCATATATTTCATCAGATATATCCTCATTCAGTCACAGACTGAGTAGAGCCTAATGTTAACAAGGGTTTTCCTCAAGCTTTAGGAATCTTACCTTACTGTTATAAAATCATATGTACCTCTTTCTCATCTTACAGAGCTGAGTTTAAGAAACTGAGCGAATGTCTCCAGTATTCTTGGCTATTCAGAAAATTCACAATTCTTGGCAGGCTTTAGGAGCAAAGAAAGAGAAGTTAGAGAATAACTACTGCAACACTTTAGACTTACTGCCTGTGGGGATCTGCAGTCTAGGAGCTATGCAACATGACTTTTTAAGTCTCACAACAATTTCAAAGCAGCAAACCACCAGAAGGTCTCAATATATACACTCGATACTGTTTCACGTTGATGAGCAGAGGTCCAACGCTCTCATTTCTTTATGTACCCTTTTGCTTGCCCGGACTCATAACCTCTTCCCAAGAAATGGGAAAGCAGGAAAAGGAGCAGGTGGCAAAAGCAACAGGTTCAGTAGTCTTAAGTGTCTTTTCTTTCTCAAAACTCTGCCCAAGGCTAGGAGATTAACTGAAACTAGAATTAATGACAAGAAGAATGAGGGGCACATAACCGCTTATTGAAACAGCAATAACAAAATCCGCCTTCCCCCAAAGCCAAGACACCAAGAGCAGTGATGAATAGGGGCCTGGATGACCGTCACACCACTATGTCATTAGTATATACATTTCTGGTATGGAAATGTCACCAGTGTTGGCTATGGGAGCAGCTATTATTCCTAGCACAGGAAATTCACAGCTTTTCTTTTTTTTTTTTTTTCTTTTTTCCACTTCTTACTGCTTGTATAACAATGGTCTCATTGCATCTATCCATCCAGGTAATGCATTAGACAAGACTGAATTCCACCTGGACCTCTGCCCAAATGTTATGAGACAGATAGGAAGGTATTAAGAAAATAATCCTAATCTTTTTACACCCGTAACTGATTTTACTTCCACTTCAAAAGTCTACTGACACACAAGGAATCCTGCAGACCAGGAAAAACATTAGAATATTAAAGTGAAATTACCTTCAATAAAAAAGTTTGGATAGGGGAATTTAAAGTGAGTTTGTCTTTATAAAGACAAGAAAGGGTAAGGCTGGAAATAATAATTTTAATTGCACTGTGCAATGGAATCATCCCAGGGAAAATGATACAGAAACGGTAAGAGAACAAAAACAAATAGCTGAATACTTTCATCAAAATACTGTTTTTTCACTCTATGGGTTCTAATTCCTATCAGAAGAGATGGTCTGGCAGGCTTGTTGAAAGCAACGGGTACTGAAAAAACTTACAACTTGCAGGAACATGTCTCTAAGGGATATCTCCATTGCTGATGATGCCAAGCAAAAATACCAGAACTCTTGATTAAAAACAGAGATTTAAACAAAAGTAGCTTTATACTGATTCTCAGTGCCCTTATTCTTCTCACTTTTGACAGTAATCAGAGATGGAAGGTCTGATGTCCTATAAACTCCAGTCCTCATCCTCCCTTGGCAAGACCTCAGTTCAGAGATGTAACCTTCGAAGCTGAGGTTCCCTTCAGAATCATCACAGGAGCGTGTGCCAGTGTCATCCAGTTTGACTCCATCCACGTCGATGATCCTGTTTACAGGGAGCTCCGTACCGGGGTTCTCTCTCGCACCAGAAAGATTAAAGCTTCTGCTGGTCTTCGCTTTGTGAGAGGTATGCTCACAAGAATTTCCTTCCAAATCTTTTTTCTTTCTGTGGTTTGCACCTAACAGAAGAATTAAAAACAAAAAACACAAAACAGAAGAGTTACGTCTCTCCTGGCTTTTAGCAGTTTTCAATATTGCAGCCTCCTCTGAGGTCCTAATGGTAGATTGTCAGCTTTACCTAGTCAGGGATATTCCTCTGCCCCACCCAGGAGACTTGATGTTCCAAGCAGGTAACTAAACAGTAGATCTCAGATATATGTGTATACATATTCGTGTATCTGTCTTAATTTAGCATTTTTCAGAGTTTTTAAAAAGACTCCATTAAAAGTAACGACTTGTATAAATTTGTACACCTCTAGAACAAAAACTCCCGCACCAGCAAACCCAAAGGTGAAGGAGGAGAACACAGAGGTTCCACTGAGGCACTTGGTTCCTTGGCTTGCACTGACCTCCAATACCAGATCCCTGCTGAGATACTGTTTTTACTTGGCTAGAGATTAGTTCTCTAGCAGATTAAGAAAGGATGATTTGAAGTTGCAGTTCACTATCCTGAACTGCAACCGAGCAATTATGGGCCACGGTTTACAGGACAAGAAGAAAAGAAATAACTTAATCTGCTGAAGGGCTTTAAACATTCAAGAAACACCTGAGTTAGGTGTGATTTTTTTTTTTAACCTTGAAGGGGTTTTTTTGGTACAGTGCTTCTAAAATCACAATTGTTAGGATTTAGGCATATTCTATAGAACTACTCATACAAAGTTGTTACTATGCCAAGTTAACCCTAGATTAAAACCTTGAGCTCCCCAAAAGGCAGTTGTGCGTTAGGTATGGCACTGCAAACTGCCAGGCACGTCTTAAAGCAAATGCAGATAAAGCTGGTTTGCCTGTTTCAACAGGCAATGAGAAAGGAAGGATGAAAAATGAGCTGATATGATTTGCACCATGGTTATCAGCACGATTTCTGGAGTTGAGGTGCCCCCACAATAATGATATAAAAAGGGGCAAAATTTGCAGGGAGAGAGAACTGCTTTTATTAGACCACCTGGTATCCAAGAAAAAAAATAGAAAAACTTTGAAAGCAAAAAGGCAGACCTGAGTAAGGGCTTCCATCTCGCATTTAATTTCTTTTTTCCACGTATACCAGCTGGTCTTTTAAAAGATACCATCTTGTCCAACACGCCTTACCTAAACCATTGTTAAACCTTTTGCCACACTGCACGCAAGTGCCTGACTAGCACATTTAGTCACGCTAATCCCATGAGACTTGTGTGGTTAAATCCCATAGCTGGCTTTGAAACCTTTTATTTGTGTTTGTTCCAAAAAGCAATGTATACGGTGTATATTGCAAGAAAAAGAAATTTCAATATATAATCATCACAAACAAGTACTTTTGGATATGGAGAAGGGGAAAAACAGAAATGGAAAGGACAAAAAAAGGGAATTTCATACTGTTTCATTCAAATCACTCCAGGGTCTTCTCAAGGGTCAAAGCTTTCTATTTAATGAAAATAAGTTAAAATTCTAAGTAGTGCAATATCATTTTAGTGCTTTAGCTACAGTGGAGCCCCGCATTAATAATGTGGATATTCCACATCAGTAATGCTTGCCTTTTTTCACATCCAGAAAAATTAGATCACACTCCAAACAAATCAGCTGAGCAATAGCAGAGAGAAGGCAGAAAGCTTTCTCAGCCCTGTTAGCCCAGCACGATTCCAGCCTACTAAATTACAGCTAACATTTAATAAGACTATATTACGCTTCAGGTTTACATCTTCCTACTGCAGCCTAACATTGGCTTAATTTTAACTGCTGTTTGCATGGCGGTGGTGTAAAATGCTATTCTTCTATTCTAAAATGTTTATCTTAACATGAATGTACTGAATTGTACTCTTGATCTTTTTAATCTACCGTTCTATGCCCTTCGAGGAAGATCTCTGATTGTCCTTTCATGTTGGTTTAAAAGAGATACTAATTTAAAAAAAAACAAAACATACTAATGATAAATTACACCAAATAGTTTGCATTGACAGAGCATGAGTCATCCAGTTGTCCTAGTATTGAGAAGACATGCTTCTACTAAATGTAACGTAAAGAAAGAACTTTGATGGCGGTGTCAGGTCTCATCGCTCTTTTGACTTGAACTAAGCTGAAACACTTTCCACAGTGAAAAAATAGAGCCTGCATTAACAACAGATGAAAGAGCTGGAAACTCCTGCTGAGGAACGCTATAGAAGGTACAGGTATTGCTGTATTTATTTGGTTGCTAAGTCTTTCTACAGGTAAATATAAGAAATGTCATTAAGTCTTGGAATGATGGTGTCACTGAATCATCACACGGAACAACTGGGCTTGCAAGTTGTCTAAGAAGAACAAAGCAAAAATAAAGTCAGTGTTAGCTCTTGGGCTTCACAAGAAAAAAGCCCATCTGAAGAGGAATAAATCTGTACTGTGGGCAGTTTTTTCTATTAATGCCCTTCTCAGGAGCAATCCCTCTGAAGCATCTAATAAATTACCACTAGAGGCAGGACAGGAACAGAGAAAGTCTTATCTAAAATATCGGTTCAAAAGAATACAGAATTAATAAGGGATAACACTGTGAAGATGATTTCTCTTTTCCTGGCAGGGTAGAAAAGATCTTAGCTCACCTACACCAAACAGGAAGATGATTTCAAGTGTAGCACTACTCTGAAAAAATATTTTAATGTGCTTTTTTTCCCTAATTTTTAAAAAACCAAGCATTTATGAAGCAAAGCTATTTATCACAAATAATAGGAGAGATTCCCCAAAACAGATTGTATATAAGTGTATCTCACAAATTTCAAAATAGACTCAAGATTGGCATGTACTCGGTGGAGCTTTGTAATGAGGCCTAAATGATGCCTACAACACGGGTGCACTGGTCTCTTCCTCATATTCTGAGTAACAAATACCTGAGCAAACTTCATTATGCAGGGCACCATCTAAGGTGCAGAGAGCTTTCACAGATAAAATTTCACATATTCTTGCACTGAAGCGATGAAAACCTCCATGGGTATCTCTGTGGATTGCTTTGCCTTACATAAAGCATGTCAGGAATGATATTACATTTTCCTTAATCTAATCTGTCAAATGTCCTACCTAACTTCAGAAGGGAAAGGCAGGCAGTGCTTAGAGCAGTAGTTGCATAGATTAATTTCCAAACAGACTGGAATAGCACAATCATGCCTATTGGTAATCTTCAGCTCCCCTGCTAAGCATTCCACACAGCTCTAAGGGAATTTTCTTGCACATCTGATCCCATTAATATGTTCCAGCCGGTTTAAAGACGGGATGGTGCATGTCACCTTCGGTCTTTAAAGTGGAGATCTGCTGTCTTACAGACTCGCAGCTAAATGACTGCTTAGAAGACTAGGTGTACTGGTCAGCATTTTTCAAAAGGTAAATGATCAGGCAGTGTTTTGGGTGATCTCCTGATTTCCTTTACCAATATTTCTCTTTTTCTGAAATTTTGATTTTTCTATTAGTCTCAAGGTCTCTGAATTTAACATGATGATTATGGGAAAGTGTCTTTACAGAGGAAGACAAAGGGAATTTTTGTTTGTCTGTATAAAATATTTCTCAAGCTCTAAGTAACACCTAAGCAAGATAGCGGAAGATGTTGTTTTCCAAGTAGTTTAGGACCAAGGGAGCATGTGGCAAAATTCCAGGCTAAGGCGAGGTTACAAAAAACCTGGAAATTTCAGGAACAGCACTAACTGTCACACGCAGATGCTATGATCAAATAACCGTACCTCAATGCAGATGCTTGGGATTTAAAGGTCCACCCACAAAATTTTGCAATGATATTATTTCGATAGCATAATTATTAGATCCATATATTTTCAATGTGCTAATTTTAGTTATGATTCACTCATTAAAGAATAGTTTAGATCTGATCTGAAATTCAGTACCTTCATTTTTAAGTGATCAATACTCAATATAGTTCCATTCATACCATACTTTTTTTTTATAAAAGCAAGTAGATGATCATTAAGTTTCACTGTAAGAGATGAGCTCTGTAATTGAAAGTCCATATGTAGTGGATTTCATACATGACAATGTTAACTTCTCTTCCATAATTTTCCCAACACCATTTCCATATAGACAGGCACCTCTTCCATGCAGATTCAGCAGCTCAATTAGCATTCTACCTTTGCTAAAATCCTACCGTTCTTGCCAAAACCATTTATTATGTAGATGGCTCTCCCTTCTACTGAAAGTTAACAAGAATACTCTGCTGGCTTCTCTATCGTCGATCCCAGACATTCAACTTCTCTCGTCAGAGAGGATCAGATATTCAGTTAAAAAGAATGATCTCCAGTTTAATGATTTTGTGCTGACTTACAGCAGGTAAGATATATAATACTTAGAACCCTTGCGAAAAGAAATCACCCAGGTTTTCAGGAACAGCTCCTGGAATTGATTATTTACTGGCATATACCACCTCCAAACGCAATCAGTCATTTTCAGTCCCTGAATTCAAGGACCAGTGTGGTCCTTAATGCAGGATATCGGGCAGATCCTGTTCTCATCTCTGATTCCGTACAACAACCTGTCCTAAGGTGAAAACATGCTGCCTGAGAGAGCATTTTTTCACATGAGACTATAAAAAAGGAGCTTTGGGACGGTCACTTCTGCAGTGGTGTTCACTTCAATGTCTGGAAATCTTTCAACATGAGCAACTCTTTTCCTTAAGATATACGTAGCCTGGCAGACTCACTCTGGGAAAGACATTTCTGCCTTCCTGCCCTAAACGGTTGGGAAATAGTACTTCAAAATTTTAGACTTCCCAGATGTGGATTCTTTTAAGTGGTGGCTAAATGACTTCCACACTGGCTGGTGTACAATTAGGACTGTAAGCATTTAAGTTTGCAAAGTGATTTATGCTTCTGAAGGGAAAAGGATATTTTACATGTAAGATTTAGAATTCTGCAGGTTGAATTCCTTTCAAAAGTTTCCTTCCTTTTATCTCTTAACTGATACAACAATGAGGAGAAAGGATTTAATAAAACGCTCCTACTTACAGTTTATGCTAAATCTT